GGATATACTTCTTCGCGTTGCGCCGCTTGTTCTGGTACGTACTCTTCTGGTGTTGTTTGCGTTGCTTGAAGCATTTGCTCGTATTTATGAAAAATTGCGTAGAAGGTCGCTTCATCTATGGTGTCGTCTAGGTTTGTGTTGATTTTAAAGTATAATCAAAAGATTTGGTCCGCTTGGCATTGAAGCCTGCAGGATCGCCATGTAATGTAAAACGTAATGTATGTTTTTGTCTGATGAAAATAGTTTTCCTAATGATGCAGTCAAGAACAAGTTATGAAGCGGCTTGTTACCGCTGGTACCTAAGCCAGTGTTACGTGGCCAGAAGGGTGCGAGAATAAGTCAACAACGCATAGGTTTGCAGTCATAAGTATACTCTCTTTTATTGAACAATTATTTGGGTATTTATACAATTTTCTTGTTCGTAGCGCTCCCATGACTCCGCCTCTTCATTCCAGACAAAACCTGGAAAAGTATAAAGGCAGCCAATCAAAGTGATTGCTGAGCTTGCAGAATGCATTGCAATGCGACTACACTGTTTACTCATTTAGGTCAAACGTCAAAGTTATTATTAGAGTGCATTGACAATGTTGTTTGCACATGTTGATTGCAACATAGGAAATATTATTATTGAATGTATTGCCACATGTGTTCAGCAATCATCAAATATTGAAACAGTGTGTGGCAATAGTTTCGTTGGTGATGCGAAACTCTTTTGTGTATGTTGCTTTGCTGTAGCTTTTTGTGTGGTATGCATGAAATGTGACTAATTCATAAATTTGCTTATTGTTATTTATGAGTGCTGGTAAGTGGCTTAGAGGTAGGTCCACTACAATATTTTTGATAATTTTACAAAATCGGTCTACTCATTTTTAATGATTTATATACCAAAATGTTCTAGAATATGTATATTTTTCAAAAAAATACCGTGCAACATTGTACCCTTTCGTAAAATTTATAATTTTTTAAATATTATTATTATTCACTTGACACAGACTATAACCTCCTATAAATACCTTTAGCAGAGTTCTTTCTTAAACTTTACAGTGGTGGTGAGTTTTTAGCATTGTACAGCTTTTCACCTTATTATGTTATTAGAATGGTGTTAGTTAACATACATTTTTTTCGTAAAAAAATCAGTTTTTTAAATATATATAATTAAAAAACGATCTACTCGATTTTTGTGAAATTAGTTTTGTTTGAAATAGTGATCAATCTAGTTTTTGGGACTTTGAGCGTGCTGGTTGTATTCTCAGATGTTGCTCTTCCTGATTTCTCTGTTGTTGAATGCACACGTGTATATAAAAAATACAACTACTATGGTTTACAGCGTACAAAATGAAACATAGAGTATAAATATTGTCAAATTTATCGTCGAAATGGATGAGTGTTCTCAGGATGAATCATTTATTTCAAAATAAAACTTTTCAATTTTATTTCCATTTTCTGTTGTCAAGGCGAATTTTCATACTCATAGTGTCAATGACTTCATGTCAGCTTTTAAGTTAAAAGTTTTAACAGTGGGATAGGATATCAACATTTATCAAAAACAACATACAGTGACGAACAAAATTATTGGCATAGCAAGCAAATTAAACTTTAGCACTATTTTTATCCTGTTAATGATGTGATTTTTAATCAACAAAAAATTTTTTATGATAAAAAAAGTATTTTCAATAGCAATTAGTATTTAGTGGCCAAACTCTTTTATTTAATAACAGCTACTATTTGCTTTGGAATCGAAGAAATCAATTCTTGTGTGGTTTTTGGCCAAATATTTTGCCACTCTTTAGCAGTGCCACCTTCAGTTCTGACTTTGTTGTTATAATGGGCTTATTTGGACGTCTATCCAATTCTTCCCACAATGTTCAATAAGGTAGAGATCTGGAGATTAATCTGGATGCGGCAATGTGTATTTTACATGATGATGTGCGAGCACATCATTAGCCATATGTTTTCGTTCATTATCATGTTGGAAGCTAAATATGGCAGGTAAACGCAATTTTTTTGCACTTTTTTGACGTTTCTCTTGAGGATGTCTAAATAATAATTTTTGTCCATAATGCCGTCAATGAATACCGATTCACCGACCCCTGCAGCGGACATGTAGCCCCATGTAAACACTCCTTTACCACCATAATTCACAGACATAGCAAAATTTTCTATTTGCAGTTCGATGTTTAGTTTTCTCTAAACCGTTTGGCGGTCATTAGATCAAAAGATTTCATATTTTCTTTCATCCGACAAGAGTACATTGTTCCAAAAGTCGATTAACTTGCAAAGTACGCCTTTGTATAGGCTAGACGCTTCTCTTGGTTGGCTTTCGAAATTAACGGTTTTCGTCTAGCGACACGACAGTTGTAACTAGCCTATTTCAGTTACGGGTTTAATTGCCAAACTCTCGCTTAACCTCAGCTGCAATTTGAGTTGAAGATTTTTTGGAATGACCTTCACCTTTCTTATTATTATGTTGCGTTCACGGTCATTAATGGCTTTAGGTGGGGCTGTGTGCTTTGCACTTTGCAACTATATCGCCCCCTTGAAACGTTGCACAATGCTCCGAATGGTAAAGCGGCATCTATCCATCATTTTTCCAATCTCCATATAAGATTTGCCTTGGTTGTGCAAATATAGAATTGGATAGACGTCCAAAGAAGCCCATTATAACAACAAAGGCGGAACTGAACTGGCACTGCTGAATAGCGGAAAATATTTGGCCAAAAACCACACAAAAATTGATTTCTTCGATTCCAAAGCAAATAGTAGCTGTTAATAAATAAAAGAACTTGGCTACTAAATATGGTATTAATTGTTATCGAAAATATTTTTTTTAATTTGTTTTTTTAATTTTTGTATTAGCTGTGCCAATAATTTAGTTCAACCAGATTTAATTTTTTTTTTTTGTTAATTTAAAAAAAATATTATATATAAGAGAAAACAAAATGAAATAAAATGAATTTAAAGGCAAATTAAGCATTTTATCTTAAATATTTTTTTGTTGATTAAAAATCGCATCATTAATAGGATAAACATAGTGCTAAAGTTCAATTTGCTTGCTGTGAGAATAATTTTGTTCGTCACTGTATATATATCACACTAGCACATATTGCTCGTCATGTAAAACTGGAGATAAGCTATGCATTTGACATGTGCAATGTTGTTACCACATAACGGTATGGGGAATGAAAATTCGCTTGTCGCGTATTATAATTATTAAATAATGTTTGTAAAGCAAACTGCTATATGAATTTAGTTCAAAATGAAAATGAATCATTTCAATTGAGTCTTTTAAAAGTGTTTACATTCGTTGTAAATAATTTGTTCTCATTTTAAACAGCTGATTTTTCAATTTGCCTGTTGATTTGATTTTTAACCTGTGCCAAAAAAATATTGGATGAAGGTTATATATACCTTTAAACCTTACAATATAAACTGGAAACTTATTTTTAGCTTCGATTTATTTATTTTTTAGAAAGTAGAAGTTCCAAAAAGAGGTGCATCATTTTCAAGGAAGTGCAACCACCAAACATTTGTTTACGTTTTTTGTAAATATGTCAAAAACAGCTTTCTCAAACTGTGAAAATGCCATGAAAAGCTTTTATTTAGGGTATGTTCAATGTATTCATTTGTTTTGGGAACATATTTTTAACTCATTCTAACCTCGTTGGAACTAATTTATATTTATTTTATGAGATTCAATGGATCTCATTTGCGCTTGAATTTTGTATGCAAAATGAGTCATTTTTTTCTTACGTTTGATTTTTCGCCAAAATGAGCCAGTATTTTTTTGCTATTCTGAACGAAAAAATTACGGGTATGGTAAGTAATGATAAATAGATTTAGTTATGTCTGTCGGTTTATATGCAAAATATGCCCAATACAGGAATACTAAGTCAATAATTGCACAGAATTTATTTTTTTGTTATTTTTTATTTATTTGCACATTTTTTGAATGTATCATTTAGTTTTATACTTTATAAGATAACTTAAAAAATGTGTACATTGAAAGCTTACATGTGATATTGTCTTGTAACCTACTTCGCCGGAGAGTAACAAAAAAAGCATATAGACTTTTAATTGTTCATGTAATTTGTGAAAGTCGTTAAACGCAAATTGCACAAAAAGTAGTTTTTAAAATGCAGTAACAAATTTTAAGTTTTTATAAAACTATTTCTGGTATACATTCAATAATATTTTGTACATTTTTTGTGGTATATATCTGTACTGACATCCCAGTTGAAAAGGTGGTCTTCAAAGATAATGTATTCGAGACGGTCTTTGATACTGCGTCCGCGTCTAAAAAACAAAACAATTGCTCTTAAAATGAATGTAAAAAGTCTCTCTTTTGCTTACTCTCTCATTTGTAGTATTCATAGCAACCTATGTCTCTATGCCTTTCTTATTATCAGTGCGTATTTAGAGTGAGGAAAATTAGTATTTTGTGAGGTAAAATTTTCTTATCCATTCATATTGTTTAATTTAATTTAATTCTACCATAATTTGTTTTTATAAAAGTATAAGTATCAAATATGTATATAAAATATATAACAAAAACTAATTACGTACAAATTTCTTTCTAGTTGTTTAAAGAGAAACAAAATTTACAATTTAAAGAGCACAAAAAAAAGAGAAACAACTTTTAATCGAATGCGTTCGCTTTGCAAAATATAGATGCATACAGACTTCGAGAAATGTACACAAAATGTCTTTGAAGAGATTTGACTAATTTGTTCCAAAATGTCTTCGAAGACCGTCATACATTCGATCGATCAGTCTGCAGGCATGTATGTATCCATGTCTTCAAGACGTCTTCGATGAAGGATCGATCCATTTCCTGTTGGGATACTTTATTCAACGTTTGCGACAGTAATGTATTCATATGTTTTGTTTTTCTAAGTATAAATTTTATTTAGTATGAGTAACATACTATATACAGATGTAGTAAAATTATTTGAAAAGTCAAAAATTTTACTCAACTAAATTTTATTTATTTAACGTTCACTTACCTTGTACTTGCATTATTTTACTACACCAATTCATTGATGTAACAAAATTTCCTAGCTTTACAGTGTATGTGGTTACACCGGTTTTCAGTTTATTATACTGGATGCTAAGCAAAGTGGAGGGCACACTGCACATACATACATATATATATAACATATCTTTCTATTAAAACGACTCCACCAATACATATGAAAAATGAAGCTAACTTTGTAACTTACGAAGTAATTTGTGGCGATATAACGAATAATTAACAAATTAACATGCATAAATGCAACAATAACAATAAAGTTAATTATTTGAAAAGTTCGTTTGCCTGTTTCAAAGATTGGTACGAAGCCGAACTGAACGTGAATTTGTTATGCTGTAATACCGTTCGAACACATAAGTGATTGTATGTTTAATGGCTCACTTGCACTTTTTACCGTTATATATGAAAACATTCATCCTCAGATGGAGTATAAATCAAATATGGAATCTATTGTTAGACCACATTCAGTTCAATAACGTCTTGGCGCAACATACTTAGTGAACAAAATTAAAAGTTTTAGTATACTGTTATATCATAAAAAGGACGCGTCTTGTAAAATGCTTAAATCTATTGTAAGCAGTAAAGTTATTAAAATTGTGTGTGCGTGATTTCAAAAAAATATTCAAATAGTTATTTCAAAACCGTTAGGTTTAAATCGTTTGTTTTAAATATTTATAACATTTGTCTACATAAGTAAAACTTATGTAATTGGTAAATTTGTGCTGATTTAGGCTTTTTCGTATACAGAATATTCGGCTTTAAAAGCGATTTAAAATAACGAAATGTTTCATTTGAGCCATTTGGTGTAAAATGTTTTTTTTTAAATGCAATACGTAATAAAAACGTTTTGCTCCCTTTTCATGCGTTGGAATTTGCACATTTAACATTTTCTGTAATGAGAATTATATTAATTTTGTTTGTTCTTTGCAATTCAAGCAAACTTTTATTAAGTAGATACAACTAACGCGAGCTAAAGTAAAATGAAAGAAGAGCTATGGAGACTGTAAAAAATGAGCAACCCTTTAAAAGTTATAAATAATATTTTCGGGTTCTTTTTATCTGCTAATATCGATTTCAGCTTTTATATTGTGATTTTCAACACAGTACCCTAATACTGATGATTTTAACAGCAGTATTTTTTGAAACAGAATCCTGGTAGAATAAGTCTTGTTATTTTGGACTTTTTTTTATATACTTTCGTGCGATTTCTAGTCAGAAGTTTGTATTAATTAATTTTATGAAGAGAAAATTTAATGTCTGAATAGCCACAAATTTATAAAAAATAAGTAATAGATTTATTTTACAAATAAAAGAAATATTGCCCATAATATTTATAAAAACTAATGTTTTGATCTAATTTCAGCTCGTTTCTACGTGTTTTGTTATGGCTATAAGTGCGGTAAAAGTTCATGAATTTGATCATCATGATTATAAACAATTGGAACATTTAAAAAATGATGCTGAGCCTGAAGAAACGGAGCATCATCATGAAGTGGAGCATAAACATGCAATTTCCCATCAAAGCGTAAAGTTTCACCATTTTCACCCAGTGCCGGTTTATGTTAAAAAAGAAGATCAACATTTACTTAAGAAACCTATTGAAATTGGGGGCACTAAACAAAAATTAAAGATCTTACATCCCAAAACCGAACATAATCACAATTATGGCTTAGTGTTAGAGGAACACAGTGAATCGCATGTACATGATCATGGTCACTATGAGCAACTACAAAATGATGACCACTATGAACATTATCAACATCATGAGTAAATAAAATTTGGTTACCTTAATTATGCTTTAAGAATACTAAATTTTGACTGTACATCCAATGAATATTCTTTGGAATATGTTATTACATTTTTAATAGAAAATTACATTTAAGATAAATAAATATTGTTTAAAAGATGTGTGCGATTTATTTTTTCTATTAAAAATTGAAGAAATCTCAAGTTAAATAAGAAGTATGAAATATTGTTATTTCATTATACATTTTTATATATTTAACACTATACCAAAGAATCTAAAGTACAAAGAAGCGCCACGCTCATACAAACGAAATACCCACTATATTTTGCTGGTGGATTTATAATAAATCCACCCAACCTCAAGCAACAATGTTCGATCGAGTCACAACTGGTATGATGTTCAGTTCAAACTCATTGCAACCCACAATTGTTTTTATACGCCTGTTTGTTTTGCCTTTCTTGTTTTTATTTGTCTATTTTATTAATATACATCAGTGGCAACGCGTGCCCTATCTGGAAGGGTGTGAGGCCCTTCTATAATGTTGTTTTTAGATGTACCACCTAAATTAAAATATATGAGATGTTTTATTAATAATAACTATATTATATTAGGCAACAATATATTCGCAATATTATATTAACAATTCATTAACAAAATAACATATTAAACCAATTAAATTAATAATTTATATATAAGTTTAATATTATATCAATATGGAAGAAACAAAACTTTTCACATAATTCTCGTAACATCAAAACAACTTTTTTCAAACAAAAGAGTTTTTACTCAGAACCATACATGTTTATGCAGTGATCAAACAAAATCGAACCCTCTCGCAACGTCTAAATGTGCGGACAAGTACCCTGCACAGTAAGCGACGGAAATTTGTGGGTGCTACTGTTAAAAGGGGAGAGACGAAATGTGATAGAAATGTATGGTGATATGAGCTGCAAACTTTAGCCGCTCATGCAACCGTTTTGGCAAATTATCATGTTGGATTCGTATACATGCAGTTGATATTCGAATAGAACAGAAAATTACTCTCATACAATTCTCACTACATAAATCTCTATTTCTGATATTACGAACGGGAGCATACGCACATTATTCTGTTCATATGCAACGAGAGACGAAATATAATAGAAATGTTCTGTGATTTGAGCTGTATATATATAGTAGCTAACAGAACCAAATTGATTGAGTTTTCATAGACAATTATATTTAATTGTTTTTGCTAAAACTTTAAAAATATATATAAGGAAATGTAATTAATAATAATAATTCTTGATGTGAAGATACTAAATAAATTTATATACCTATGTTATTTGACATTTTGCAAATTATATTAGGGTGTTCACCGCAAACCTCCGCACCATAGATCCGCATCCGCATCCGCATCACTGATATACATTGATTAGTAACGAAGAGAATGGTAAAGAAATCCCTGAAACAATTTTTCCATTTACTTTGTTGCTTTATCTTCTTGTACTGGAATGGCCCCTATCATAGGAGTAAAGAGTAATAGAACATATATTATTTTTATTCCAAAAAATGATGCACTACAAAAACAATTATGTATGTACAAATGTGATATTGGAGACATTACGTCTGCAGCATATAAATATGTATGTTTTTATTGCACATTTGTGCATATATTTTGCATCAAAAGGAACTACTTCTTAATAGTTTGAATTTTTGGTGACTTTTTGTAATTATTTTAAAAAATATTATTTTAAATAAGAGATGTTTTGTGAACTCTATTACAATTCTTAAAACCAAAAAAATATTGAAAGTTTATTATACAGTTTTTTGGCATCCATATAAAATACATTTATTTAGACATTTAAAATTTATTCATACTTACTTTGATTTGTTCAAAAAGTTGAAAGTCTCTATGGTAAAATGAATCGTAAAACAATTGCGGGTAATAAGTGTTGTTTATCTCATTGTAAGAGATCCAAAAGAAATTTTCCCGATTTAAAGCTATTTAAATTTCCAAACTATGATTCGCCTGTTTTTAAGGAGTGGGCAGACAAAAGTAAATTAAGTGAAAAATTTGTTGAAAACAACACCTCATTGTATTTATGTAGTAATCATTTTTCTACTGAAGTTATTGGAAAAAAGAATCTTAAGCAAGAGCTGTTCCGTCGTTATGTCTACAGAATTACGGTAAAACCGATAATGAACGGAAAACTGAAGATGATATCGACATATCAATTTTAGTATCCCGAATTCGAAAACGGATGAACGGCAGTTGTTTTCAAAATATTTAAAACGTTGAATTTTATCAAAACAAGAATCTTTTATTACGGAAAAAAATAATAAAAAAATCTGAATTAAATCGTCGTTTAAAAGGAGAAAATAAGAATTTGAAGAACTTAGTAATTAAGTTCAAAAGGCAATTAAAATCAAAATTGTCAGTAAATGAATTGATTGATAAAATGGATATTACTGATAATGAAAAAGTGCTCTCTAAAATGCTGATTAAACATAATCGAGGAGCTACAGCTGTCTGGAATTTGAATGAACGGCATATTGCTCAAATTATTTATTATAAGTTCAATGCTATGTATTTATTTCTGAGAAACACGTTAAAGTTACATTTTGCCTGGACATAATATTTGTATTTATACAGCGCCTGAAAAAAAAAATCTCAAAATGGAGTCAATAGAAAAGGAATGCATTTTAATATTTGATGAAATTGCTATAAAAAAAAATTTAACTTACAATGGCTCTGCAGATGTAAATTGTGGGCTGGTTGATTTAGGAAATAAACGGACAGATGAGATAGGTACACATATTTGAGTTTTTATGTTGAGGGGGCTCATAAAAAATTGGAAATTTGTTCTGAATTATGTTGTAATGAATAATTCAATCAAAGTTATTGAATAAAATAAATAATTAGCTGAAATTACCCGATTGCAAGCTTTGCAAGTACTATGAATGTAATTGCCCGCTTCAGCTTTACAACAAATTTAATATTTCTTAAAAAATTAAAATAAATTCAATATATCCAAAATTTAATATTTCTAATAATAAAAAAGTACTAATTCTAGGTTTTTCCGACATAATTTTTATTATTTTAGTTATTATTTCAGCTTTACAAAAAATTTAATATTTCTAAAAAAATTAAAATAAATTCAATATTTCTAAAATTTAATATTTCTAATAATAAAAAAGTATTAATTCTAGGTTTCTCCGACATAATTTTTATTATTTTAGTTAAAGTTGCTGGAGCAAAATATCCTTATTACAATTTGGAAAACGACGGCGGTAATCGTTAACTTTTTTGATTTAATTGATTTAAAGTCCAGCATTAGTTTCACTCCTCGCTTTGCCGGCGATATATTTGAATCGAAAAATGCCAAGCCAACAAGCTCGGAGCTTAAACACCAAAGATAATTACATAATTTCTCCAAAGTAGCTCTAGATATATCTTCATCAATTTTTTCATATTGACTGAGAGTAAAAGAAGATTAAAATCTAGGAAATTAACTTTGACTGATGACAAAGCATTAAACCATACTTCAACTTACACTCTAGTAATAAATATACATATATCGCAACGAGCATTTTCTTCGTCTGTATATAAGTTGAACTCTTTCCTAAATAAAAATATTTTTATTGCATGCAAGGCTTTCGCCATCCATCTTGCGTGATGAATAATCCCAGGAGATCGAAACTTTATGCTGCAGTTTAACTTTTCTCCTAAAAATATTAATACAAGTTCCATAAGTTACTTATAATCATCTCTTGGTTGGTTATCCTTACGAATCTTATTAAGAAAACTTGTAATTTGTAACACATCATCTATGTTCAATGATTTTCTCACTTCTTCATTATCTGAAGGATACTTTTGAGAATAATTTCCTAAATATGATGTCTGCAAGCTAAATATAAAAGATCTCTTTCTAAATGTTTTTCAATAATTGAGCAAGTTTCGTTAATAGAACCAGTGTTTACAGCTGCCATATCAGAAACTAAAGCTTGCACGTAATCCTGCAAACCCCATTCAAATAGCAGATGCCTGTGCTCTTCCTGTACAATTTTTCAAATAATAGGTCAATGGTCCACATTTTGTTTTCCTTCTAAAGCTGGCAGCAATTTTTCATCCCAATGCACAAAAACTGCATAGCTCACAAACTTTGAATTGTTTTTTTAAGTCTTCTACTCTTTGTAATGCAATGTTTTTGTTCATTTATTGGTATTCGTGCTTATTGCCAAAATATGATAACTTCTTTTATAGTTAATATAGCACTTTCGCTTAACCATAACTTAACCATAAGCATGGTAAAAAAGGACTTTTAATATTTCCCTATTTGATGGTAATTTACTTCCAGTCAACCTACTAGAATGATAATCAACAATGTATATATTTTTACGCAAATTCACTTCGTATTCCAATCAATAACACAGAAACTCATTTATGTATGTAACTATCCAAACGTTGGACTTATTTTGTACCAAATTTAGTAAACAACATACAGTCATGCGGGCAAATGCATTCATAGAACTTACTGAATTCAATCGGGTAATTTCTGCTAATTATTTCATTTATTCAATAACTATTAGAAATACAGAAAATCTTTGTATGAGTGAATTGTTTATTTTTAATAGTTCTATAACTTTTAGCAAGACAGTTCTTATGTAAAATTAAATATATCGGAGATATAAGCAACCAAAGATGAATTTTATGGAAAAAATTGTTATTTTCCAATCTTTGGAGCTCTTGGGGCACCATTTCCACTTATCCAATTGAACTAAAATTTTACACAGATTATTTTTGTAGTAAAATGAACCGATCTGGGGGTGCCGCGGGCAATTTTCCCACTTTCCAAAATTAATGGCCCCCTAATGTACCACATTTGATAAAATCCATAAGAAATGCATAATTTTTGAAATAGCTGATGGCGAAATGTATCTATTTTTACAAATTTGATGTTGACAATATCATTCAAATTGTAACTGAGCTTACAATGATTAAATATCGACAACCGCCACATTATTTCCCCTTTCGAAACACAACCTTGCGACCGGAACGAGAAGTGTATATCTTACGATCATGCTTGTCAGTAA